CGATGGGGGTCCCACGCTGACGGCCGCGTCCTCTCCCACCTCGGCCGGCGGATCCGCGCGTTGCGGCGAGCCTGCGGGGTCAACACAAGCACGTTGATGGTGAGTTCAAGTACACACGCGAGCACCGGCGCTTTGACGGCTACGGGAGCGGTGGTACATCAATAATACCAAAGAGCATTGCCGATGGGGGTCCCACGCTGACGGCCGCGTCCTCTCCCACCTCGGCCGGCGGATCCGCGCGTTGCGGCGAGCCTGCGGGGTCAACACAAGCACGTTGATGGTGAGTTCAAGTACACACGCGAGCACCGGCGCTTTGACGGCTACGGGAGCGGTGGTACATCAATAATACCAAAGAGCATTGCTGTCAATCACACGCATCCGCGTCAAATGGTATTTGATCACATCAGTCGGAGGAAGTGGTTTTCGGAAGGATGCCTTTGCGCCACAGTCGAGCCGGAGCGCAACGTTCCTGCGTTGCCGTCGTCGTGAACGGCATTGTCATTGGAATCCGATGACGTCGCATCATAATCGGAGTAAATCGAAATGGAAGTGCAGTGAATTCATTGACGCCGTCGGAGTGACTCGATCGATCGTAATTGGACCACAACTGGCGTGAAGGGATCACATCGCGATCGGCGTGAATCGGTCGGAAATGATCTTGTGCTAGTTGACGGCAATTGTTAATCATTAACGTCGTCGCGTTGCGCCGTTTACCTCTGCCGGGGAGCGCCGGCGAGCCGGGCGGCGTGTCGCTGAAAGCGGGCGCCAGGTAAAGGTAGCTGGCGTTGACGCCTTGCTCAAAGTCGAAGGGTGAGCGGTACTCCTCCGCGGCCTCCATCGCATTGTCCGAGCGCCCGCGGAGCTATTCGGCATCAAGAACGGCGTCCCTTTTGCGCTCGGCGGTCTCCGTGGCGGCGTCATCGCGTGACCCTTTTTCCCACCCTACGCGTCCACGCCTCCCTCCGTCCTGGATGTCCCGTCGAGGCGTCACGTGAGCCAAGTGAAGAGCGTAATCTACCCTGTCCCAGATTACAGCCCGGCCGGCCGGCGTTAATCCGGGCCGGGGCCCGTCCGTCCATCTCTTTTATTCACGTCAGTTAGAATGGACGCACGGGGGGTGGCGGCGGGAATATTCTGTGTGTGTGTGTGTGTGTGTGTGTGTGTGTGTAAAATGCTTCTCATAATATGACAAGTGCGACTTCAAAGGCTGTTGGGTTTCCATTGTTTTTTATTATTATTATTTTTTGACACATTATTTTGTCTGTGCGGTTACATTTTATCACGCGTTCATTTTCGAAGGGGCGGGGGGGGGGGTCAGATTTACTGTTTTTTTCCCCTACAGTGATTAACATTAGTATGGAAGCGAATGTTTATAAAATGTACGTCAGGTAACGTCAAAAGGCTGAACAAGTTTTATTTCAGAACAACAACAACAACAAAAAAACCCTCCGGTTTTGTTAAAATATGTCTCGTTGAAAGCGGACATTGTTGGGTTACGTCAATTTTGACCAAACGGGAACAAGCGTCCGTTTGAGCGGCCTGATGGGTTGCAGCATCAAACCAATTAGCGTAATATTTGCCGCACAGCGTGTCACATGATGGGCCTGAAAAGCAAAATCACGGGACAAAGAGGGGATGGGGGGGCGCTGCCTCACTTTGCTACACTTCTGTCCCATGAGAAGTGGTCCTATGGACAAGGGGGGCGGGGGGGGTCGAGGTCGGTTACACGTAAACCAAAAAGAGAGAACCATCATAAATTGGTGAAATATGATGTAGACTCAAGCGCTGCTGCTTTCTGAAAGCGCGCTGGCGTCTCGGGTGGAAATCAAATTACAAGCAGCACTCCTCATGCTGCTCCAGATCAATCGCATCCAGAGGATGCAAAGAGAGGAAAAACAACACCGGCCGGAGTCGTTTCCAGCTCAGACTGGAGAGGGGGGCGGGGGTTGTTGCCATGACGACAAAGCGCCCATAAAAAGGAGCAATGTCAACGATGGGCCCTGATAATGTTGTGTTAGGTTAAACCTTACCTACAAATAAGATAATGCGTCAAAATCTCCGTTTACCAGGTTAAAGCAGAGGTTGCAGTATCATCTAGCTGCATAAAAACAAACATTTTAGAACTTATTTTGGAAGTGGTGTTTGTCCCCAGAAGGTCAATTCTTAAAATATAATGCAAAAAATATATATCTGTGTCATTACTCTGAGCATTTGTACGTTTTGCACTTTTTTTTTAATCGCTCTTCGTCTGAGGTTTCATTTGTTTTTTAAAGTCCAGTTATGGCACACAAAACTGTTTCACATCACAGGGTGCTCACAAAATACTCCACGTTGTGTACTCAGAAACACATGGAGTACTAAAGCACACACATGACATAATGTACAGTGTACTAGATCACCAAATATTAAAGAAAGTACACAAACACTCCAAATGCAGTGTACGAAAACACAAGATACTGCACATACCAGCTCATCTAGCTGCATAAAAACAAACATTTTAGAACTTATTTTGGAAGTGGTGTTTGTCCCCAGAAGGTCAATTCTTAAAATATAATGCAAAAAATATATATCTGTGTCATTACTCTGAGCATTTGTACGTTTTGCACTTTTTTTTTAATCGCTCTTCGTCTGAGGTTTCATTTGTTTTTTAAAGTCCAGTTATGGCACACAAAACTGTTTCACATCACAGGGTGCTCACAAAATACTCCACGTTGTGTACTCAGAAACACATGGAGTACTAAAGCACACACATGACATAATGTACAGTGTACTAGATCACCAAATATTAAAGTACACAAACACTCCAAATGCAGTGTACTAAAACACAAGATACTGCACATACCAGCTACTCAATGAACAGTGTACTTAAACACGAGACACCCATACAGTGTCCTAAAATACAAAACAACCAACATGCAGTTTACCGAGACGCCAGATAGTAAACATCGAGTACCAGAATACAAAATAATCAACTTGCAGTGCGTTCTGAAAGCAGAAAAACAAAGTGTCCAAAAACACTCAACGCAGAGTCGACGAATTACAAAAACGGGAGCGTCCGAAAATACTCTACATACGGAGAGTGAAACACAAACTACTATCATGCAGTGTACAGTGTACTCTTAAGATAAAATGCATTTGGCATGCTTGTGCTCTCTTCACTTCCTGCTTTTAGTTACTGACATGCGCACTCGAGCCTGTTTGGCCACTCAAAGATTAAACGCACATCTCAAAATGGATCTCGAACCCGGACAAGTGGCGTTTAAAACCATCATTGGACCGTTCTTTGTTTTTATTTTATTTTATTTATTGAATAGAAATTATTTGTCGCGTCAAATGAGCTGCGCGGACACGTTCACTTCCGTTTTCTGGGCATTACAAACCCACAAGAGAATATTTTCTTTGGTCCGCATTAAGACGTGAAGGTTGGGGCGCAAACCGAGATAGTTTGCTTGCCTACAGTTGACGTTTCCGTCTTTTTCTTCTTTGTTTGTTTTAAAAAGCGACAGCAAGCCAAATCTTCGAGCGAGACGTTCAGAAGCAATGATTTACCTTTCTCGTTGTCATCCATGAACGGGTCTAAGCGTGGATTCGGTGCGAGGCAGGAAAGTTGCAGTTCGGTTCAGTCGCGACACGCTTTTTAAGCGTTCAAATTGAATCTCCTCTTCTTCCTCTTGTTCTTCTCCTCCTTCTTCTTCTCTTCCTGGTCTCTGCCTTCTGGTCGCTGAGTGGCTGCCATTCACGGCGTGGGAGGCGGAGCCCGCTGCCTTGACGTCAGCGCGTACAAGTGTAAACAGAGGTGAGCACGTGGGTGTCAAAGCGGCGCTGTCAACATTGCGCACGCGCACCAAACAACCCATTTCGGCTGACGTGTTTCTGTCAAACACAAGCAGGAATTCTTATTTTGAGCATTTTTCATGGATTTTTTTTTTTGTTGTTGTGAAAATTGGTAAACAAAATAACATCGCTGTGTAGGTGAAATGTTCCACTCACTTTATCATTACAGAAACCAGAGAAAATGTGTGATATATTTAACCGTTATGAGACTTTATGTGCAATTTATATGTAATAGACAGTGAAACCTCCAGAGTACAACAAGGGACATTCGTAACTGTCATATGAGTATAAAGTGAAGCTAAACACTGGAGAATAGTGCTTAAATAAAGTAAAAACTGTCAGGCTTTGCAGGCACTTTGTTATGGGAAACTGGGTTTTAAACCAGAAGAGTAGAAATAATTTTTTTTGGCAAGCTTCTCTGTGCAATTTTTAGGCTCATATTAGGCATTACTCTTTTACCGACATGCTAATTACACACAGCTGCTATCTGACTAGGCCATATGTTCATTTTCCTTATGTATGGTTAGCATCACATGCTGCCCATCTAAAATCATTGAAGCAGGCACGACATATTTTAAGTTCGAAGAGCGAGCCAACGATATGGGAGAAATGCAAAGCGGGCCTCCAGGCCTGCCAGTCTGCCATTACACTAGCGTGACACATCCCCAAACAGACACCTTCATGTTGTCTCAGCCCGGGTTATGCCCCGCTGTTCACACGCTGTCTGCAAAGCCCTTAATTGGACACCCGTGAAACTTTACACCGGGCTATGCAAACTATCACGAGTGCACACACACACACACACACACACACACACACACACACACACTGCAAGGAAGCTGAAGTGCACATTCTGCCCTATCGCTGCACAGGACAACAACATTGTGGGATGGATACCTGATGTAACTACAGCATATTGGTATGTTGCCAGTTTTTACAACGATACAATAAGTAGCGTTGCTTAAATATTCAAAAAAATGTTTCAATTATAATTTTATCGTGCATTCATAACATAAAATATTGTAAAAGTGAATACGAAATATACATCCCACCATTAGGTATATTGTTGATTATAATGAGATTTTATGAAATATAAATGTTGTATTCATCATTCTGTATATTTTATACATATGTATAAAAATATTCAGAATAAACAGTCAAATATAAATATATACATTTTAATTAAACCTAATTAAACCTTTAGTACTATTGCATTATGTATTTTTTTTATTCACGATAAATAAAAATTCACCAAAATAAAACACACCTTTTACGTAAATTGTGTGATATTTAATGCAATAGCTCAATTCGATTCTCTCCTCTTTCATTTACAACCCCTTCCAACAACAAGGCGTACGTAGGAATAGTTGTTGCGATGTTTTGGTTGTGTTCTGTTGTATTATTGTTATTTTATGTTAGGTGTCCAGGAAAAAGGCGCTTTGTTCGAGCTGCAGGTTTTGTGAAAGCGCTGTATCCATAAAGAGGTATTGTATTTTTTGTTGGATGTATGTGATATCGGTATAATCAACAGTTTCCATAGGTCAGAAGAGCGTGAAGTCACGTGATCTTGTGATTCCCATCCAACGGGTCTGTTCAAAAAGTGCATTTCTGTGCTTGCAGCAGCGCCTGGGAGCGTTAAAGAGATAACGAAATAGAAAACAGCAAAACAAACGCGAGCGCGAGAGACGGAGAGATATGAGAAGCATGCGGAAAATGGGTGCAGCCTTGCACACACAAAAGCCCCCATTGGCGCTCCACAGCACCCCCATCTCGCCCTCTTCCAGGCGGCCCCCTCCCGTTCCTCCTCCCCCTCCTCCTCCACCACCACCAGTCGAGGTGCATTGTGGGGAGGAAAGTCGTTGCCATTCGACCTCTGCGGGGCCTGCGCGGACTCAGCCAGAACCCTGAAAATGGCATTATGCGCTTGAAAGGGACACTTATTTCCGCATAACCGAAACACTCGCACCGGCCGGGGGCCCCGCGACCGAACAACGACGAGCAACGACGGCGGCTGGGAGACAGCGAGGAGACGGAAGGGAAAAGGAACGTTTTGCCGTGGCGGGGGGGATCCTGGTGAGACATTTGTCATAAGCGCAAGAAAATGTCCGGCGAGAGGAACCGCAGGTCGCTGGCGTTCCGAGGCGGTGGACTAGCCGGGCTAACGGGCTCCGGAGGCGGCGGCGGCGGGGGGAACGGTAACAGCTGGGAGGCCCCGGCCTGCCACGATCGACATTTTAACGGCAACCGGCCGGACCAAGACGACGACGGGGACCTGGGGGCGACGGGACCAACGCGGAAGCGACGGGAGGGCGCCGGCTCGGTGAGCGACAGCACGGAGCTCGACGCCGAGGAGGAAGAGGACGCGGAGGGGGCGGCCGGGAGCCGCGGCGGCGACGCCGACTCGGCGGCGAACGGCTACAAGGAAGCGGGCAGCGGAGACTTGGCGGAGTCGGGGAGCGCCGAGGCGGGACCCAGGAAATGCGGCGTGGAGATGAGACCGCAGACGCTACTCCAGAAGCACTCGCTCTTCCACGCGTCGTGGCTCCACGAGTTCCCGTGGCTGCGCTTCTGCCAGCAGACGGGGCTCATGTCGTGCTCGTGGTGCCGCGAAGCCGCCACCCGCAGCAGCGACGAGCTCACCAAGGGCAGCCGCAGCTACAAGCGGGCCCTGCTCCTCCGACATCACCTGTCCTCCGAGCACGGCAGGAATGACCCCGGCAAACAGGTACCCGCTTCGGTAGCAACCCGAACCCCTGCGCCGCTGTCAAAACCTTAACCCAGGACGCTTTCAAAACATCCCCGAAATCACTTTAAATGCGACATTATCACAACTCTCGGCTGATACTTTGCTCACATTCGCGAACATTTTGAGTGTAAACGAGCTTGTCGAAGCCCCCCCACCCCGTAACGCCGTTCGCTTTGCGGGTAATTAGCCTCGGAGCTAGCTCCTAGCTTGCTGCTTGCTGGCTGTGTAAGCCGGGATTGGACGTTCGAGTCCGAGGTGAACCCCTCGCTGGAGACGCTGACTATCGTGCTACTGAGCTGGCTGTCGAGTTCAACTGTACGTTTTGGTGACGCCTCTGTGCTTCTTTTTCGCCTTTGTCGGAGTAAAAACAAAAGTAGTTGTTCAAGGCCAGGGTTCGGCTACATGTAGCCCGCGGTCCCATCAAGGCACAGGTTGAACCCTTTGATCAAGAGTTGATCTGACCAAGAGAAGGGCTTTGAATATTTGTTGCGGCGTTCCCTTAAAACTGCTGCCATAAAGTGACTTTGTTCATGTATCTTCTTGAATGATTGTTGAATTTGTTTGTCATTCATCAAATTCGCTTCGTTAATTGGTTACGTGTATTTTATTAAATATTCGGCAAGTTAATAAATTATTTCTTCATGTATCTTCTTGAATGATTGTTGAATTTGTTTCTGTCATTCATCAGATTCGCTTTGTTAATTGGTTATGTGTATTTTATTAAATGCTCGGCAAGTTAATAAATTATTTTGAAATATTGTTTTGTAAAATAAACAGTTTGATTACAAATTAACCTGTAAAATAGAGAATTACTTACAAATCCAAATAAACATTTTTACATATTTAATATTTTTATTTGATTAAAATGTGGGGAATTGTAAATGATGCAGTAATTTAAAAACAAATCGTATTATGAGACTATTTAACATCTTCCTGATAAATTTCCCAGATTTAGAAACAACCTCACACATCCATCTCTTCCAAAAAAAAAAAAAAAAAAAAATCAAAAATGACCCTTGAGCACAAACCCGTACACCCCTGTCTGAAATTTCAGCAGTTTTATTCATTTGGTACTGTACATAAGCCCCTCCCTTTCGTCTCCGTTTTTTTTGGTTGCATCAGCATCTGTCTTGATTACTATCTCGCCAGAGGTCACAATGACATGGGGAGCCGCACGCCAACTACCCCCCCTTTGGGCCCTCCTGTGCGGCCTCTCAAGGCTCGCGCTCCCTGGTGACCTCTGGAGCTTTTACACAACCTTCCCCCTCCTCCCCTTGGGGAGATAAATTAGAGGCGTTGTGCCAGAATGATCCCCTGCCCCCGCCCCCCACACCCATCCAAAATCTATACTGGACCCAAGCAAAAAAAAAAAAAATGTGGGGGTGGGAGGGTGAGAGCAGGGTGAAACAGAAGTCCCTAATACAGAGGTGTCAAACGGCGAGTATCTCATGGTTGCCGTTATAATGCGTATTTTCAGTTCATAGTTTGGTTCTTTTAGGGTACAGTAAGGTAGAAAAATGCAAATCTTTTTTTTTTTTTTTGTTTGTTTTTTTGTCAGTGGGGACAGAGACATGTTGACTTATAGTTGCATTTTGGACAAAATTGCACAGTTTGTGGGAAACTGATGTTTTGTTACTTGTGATTGTCAAGGTTTTGGATTGCCAAAAGTGTTATTTAAATATTTTGGAAGTTGGATGAATAATTAAGGTATTACTAGACTATAATAGTTTTTTGTTTTGTTGCCCCCCCCCCCCAATCAGTAATTGGTTGAAAACAGATATCATTTTCCGTCGTTGAAAAGCGAAACTATTACTAGCCTAGAATAGTCAAAATGTTGGGTCGGATCGAGCAAATCTCCTGATGGCATGATATATTTTCAAAAAGTCTTTTTTTTTTTTTTTTTTTTTTTTTGGTAGGTTTTTTTTTTTTGTTTTGTTTTTGTTTTGTTTTTTTTCAACATCACCGTCTTACAGCACTCCATCCATGTGGTCCGCTTCGGAAGCAGTCGTGTAACATCGACTGTTCCTCATTTTGGAGAGATCATGCGCGATCGTGCGAGAGTCTCTCTGAGAACCTTTTCCGAAATGGATAATGGGACCTAATCTTAATAGACCACGCACAATACAACCAAAACTTTTAAATTCCATGTCCCCCCCATCTTTCATAACAGTTTTTGTTGTTGTTGACTTTCGTCCCTTTGGGGCGTATCTTGTTATTCAGCCTTGTTGAAATCACCACTGAATATTTGAGGGCTACGTGACTGTAAAGACTATATGTGTGTGCGCGCGCGTTTTTTTTTTTTTTATGGCGCCAACATTTACACAGTGTTCTCAAATGCCATAAAACTAGGGAGTGTTTGGTCGACGTCACGGGCGATCCCAGGCGGGTGTCAAAGAGCGTTTTTGCGCGCAGCGAGCTGTCACGGCCGACTCTGAGGCCCGTTTGACTCGCAAGAGGATTGGACGACCGCATTTAGTTCCTTCCCGCGCCACACGCAATCACTAATCAGAATGACTTAAAGTGATCCACTAACGTGTACACACGTCTAATTGGGAAGGAGAGCGCTGCCAGTGGATTAGGCGGGTGGGGGCTCAGTGCCGCAGATCCTCCCCGGCAACGAGAACCCCCGCACGTACGCTATGTCCTCCACGCCCATACGCTGCTGAAGCGAATACTCGGCAAAGGTTTTTGCAAGAAGCGCGTTGTGGAAGTCGGCAAAGCGTTGGGAGGGAAGCTAACTCGATTAGCCGCCAGCATGCGGGGCAGCTGGGCTAAATGCGGGTTTCTTTCGGAGAGAGTAGGCTGTCTGGAATTGTCTCTGCGCCGTCTTGTGTCCGGATTTTAGCCAGAGCAGACCAAAATAAGTCTAGAAAGGTAAAAATGTGAAGAGAGAGACATTTTTAGGGGTATTCTGCACCAAAAAGTTGCACTGTATTTGTAAAAAAAAAACCCAAAACGAAAGACACGCCTGATTGAAACTTTTATCCGCCCAGTTTGATTAAATGTTACTGAAGAGCCTTTTTAGTTGCAGGGGGGAAAAAAATGCAGCTAGCGGAAAACCACATTTGTCGGCGTTGAGCCATTTGCCAAGCTGTCAAACCAAAACTTAAAACGCGCTAAAAATGTGAATGAGGATGAAATAGGCGAACAAGACTTGAGAATCTTTCTACCAAGATTGAGCACAAATGTTTTTGACATTTTCAGGCATTTTCATTTTGGCTAACGTCGTCCGTTTCGACGTCGCCGGTGATGTAGCTTAGTTGTATTTGTTTGCCTTGGTTACCACAGAAATTGAACTGCAGTTTCAGAGCACAGGAGAAAAAAAAAAATCTCTCGGAATTTAGTTTCAGTTTTGTTCTCCTCCGTGTGCGCCAACGACCCTTCAAAACCAGGCAGGACAGGACAGGTTGGAGAACTTTTTTTTTTTTTTTTTTTTTTTAAAGCGGGAGTTGGGTATGGATTTTGCCACCGAGTCGGGAAACCTCATGTTGCCCCCCCAAAACCAAAGTTTAGTCTGGCCCTCGGAGGGGAACAATGTAGCCCACCCTTGCGGTACGTGTGGCTTGTTGAAGCCCCGCCCCTCCGGTTGAGTCAAAGATCAGCCAACTGAAGTGATCCCCAAGAGCCCAAAATTGCGGGGTCATTTCACCCCTTTATTGTACCTTTGACAAAGACAAGGCCACACCCCTTTTTTCGGGGTGGGGGGGGGGTGCTGTTTGCAGTCCGAGACAAGATACAGCGGTAGACGGGATGTTTATTGGGGGCCACAGGTCATTAAAATGGGGCGGACTGCCGCCAGAGGGAAAATTCTTGTTGAATTAGCGACTCTCTGCCCTCTTCCCCTCGTCTACTTCTTCTTCTCTGGCGCGCCATTGTTGAGCGGCCGGGAGACACACCTCCCACACCTTGGGCCAAATGCACACAGCTGTATTGTTCTGCTATCTGGGGGCGGGCTGGTTGATGAGACGAGACGTCTTTTTTGGGGAGTTGGGGGGGGGGGGTCCGGCCATGAGACTGGATGAAGTTTAGGGTGGGGTTCTCGAGGGGGCTTCAATTTCTGCGTGGCGACGCTGCTGGATTACATTTCAGGGTGTGTCATGTTTGCCGCGGATCGGCCGCCACTGGAGTGGGCGGGGCTCCGCGCTTTGCTTAGGATTGAGGTTTATTTGTGCTGCGGCCTATCGTGATGCCTCGCTCGGCCCCTCCATCTTGGGTTGTTGCGACCTGCCACCCAACTTTCACTTCGTGTGCTACACAGTGCTGCCTTGACTTGAGAGTTTAATTTGGTCCGAATCACGCTTGTAACCTAATTTGCTGGTCTGTCAAATCAAATTTTGAAATGCTGTTAGCTCCTTCAAGCACCCAAATATTTTTTATTTTTTTAATGGAGAAAATTTGTACTGCACCAATGACACATGAAAGAGAACGTAAAGACATTTCAAATTACTTGACGTACCGTAGTAACTGTGTGTTCAATGTGTTCCCTGAATGGGCGTGGCCTAATGAGTAACGTTAGGTGCTCGACTCACATTTTTGTGCGAGTGTCGGGACATGAGTTGTGGCCTACAGCAGCTCCTTGGGTGGTTTCATTTTGTATTTATTTCTTGCATCAAGACTGTGGCTCTCCTTGCCCACATGTGAGGGCATGACAGTATTTTCATCGCCGGGTGAAATTCTGGAGTAATGTCCAATTCTTTCACGTCGTCGCTTCTCGTGCGGTTGTTTCGCTGCACAAATGGCAGAAAAAAAACTGCAGGGGACTCATCCTGAACAGGATCTCCAAATCCGAAGTTTCTCTAGAACGCCTTTAGGTCCACCGCGGTCTGATCTGGGACCTTGGGAGGCCTCACATGTGATTGGTGTCACATTTGAACCTTTTTTTAAGCGGAACGTCTGGAAATACAAACCTTTCGTGCCAGGGACCACCTTGGAAAAAAATTTTTGGGACGGGTAGACGTGGGAGAGGGTCTCTCCTAGCTTGTTTGTGAAGTTCACGTTTGTAAGGAAATTTTGGATTGCGTCGGCACGTTGAATTTGACTCTGATGCATCCGCCCTCGCCCGAGTTGCCTCGGCGCACCCCCTGGCTCCGTCCTGCGCGGTCTGAAGAAGGGGAAGGAGAAGAAGTGATTTCACAAAAGGCCCACAGTGAGTGGGCAATGAGCCTCGGGGAGAACGCGGGGCATTGTGAAGGCCGCGGAGAAAAAAGAAAGAAATAAATGGGGTGACCCGTCAACTTGGGCGCTCGCTTGTTCCTTCCAAGTGCCCTCCTCCGCTTGCTCCACATTTTCTCTCAAGGTCTGGCCAGCCATCAGCCGTCTCTCATGTCGCCTTTGTAACTTTTCCTCCATTATAAGGCTCCTTTTCAGCCGATGTCGCGAGCGTGTCGTTCGGCTTGCTGAAGCGTGCTCCCATTGGCTCTCTCGCAATCCCTCACATCCCATCGCCCGTACTCTCTCTCTCTCTCTCTCTCTCTCTCTCTCTCTCTCTCTCTCTCTCTCTGTGCCCGGGCTGCTGTGCAGAGAGTGGGGGCTGGGTGTGGGGACCTCTGAGAAATGGATTTCATCGGCTGAAACCCCAGATGTGCGCGTGCGCCCATGGTGGGGGGTGGGGGGTGGGGGGGGCGTGCAGTGGGCAGCTCGCTTTCTGTGTGTTTACGAGGGTGGTGGCAGAAATGCCAGAGCAATGTGAATTATTCTGGATTAGGACATCTGCTGTGCGATTTGTTTGCCCCCCTCCCCCCCAAAAAATAAAAATAAAATAAAATAAAAAGTCACAATGGAGGCGTTGGCAATGCTTGCCATTTGTGCGAGACGGACACGCTACCCCGTCTGAGTTGCTCGGTACCAGCCGGTCTCTTTGGCTTGTGAGGAGGGCAGGTGGGGGAGTGAGTTTGGAGGGGGGGGTGCTGTTACGGGGTCGGTCGACTTGTCCGCCAGCTCCCTTCGCCAATCGTGCATCCTTGGACAGCCCTCCTCCAGGTCTTCTCTTTGTTTCACTGTACAAAGAGGCCACCATTAGATGGGGAGGCCACATCTGCAGTGCAGCCTGGGGGAGGGGGGGGGGAAATCTCACACAGCACTTCCCTTTTTTTTTCTCCACACTTTTTAAAAACAAAACTATACAGTCATTATTTTCCAAATAAAAGCAAATGTCGGAAATGAAATGAAGTGAAGATTGCCACACTTCATTTTGGTCGTCTTATTCCAGAATGAAATCGATACATTTGTACTTAAAAATTCTCCACATGATAACATGGGGAGGAAAAAGAAAGTCGTTATTTTTGCAAATTGTCAACAAAAAGAATCAGAAGCGTTTTGTTTTTTTTTTTTCCCCCCAGAAAATATAAAATCCTCAACTATTTTACTGTCCTCCCCAAATTTGGGTGAAATCGTAACGTACAATAATTGACGAGCAATTGAAGAAGTCGCACCTGCAGTCATGCAAAGATTCGGAAGGTTTGTCTGATTCGAAAATCAACTTGGAGGGAAACATTTTCAACTGTGCCCCAGCCGATAGGAAATAGAATTAAAAATTTTTGTTATTTATTTTTTTTTACATTGCATCGCAAACGAGCAGCGAAGGTATCTTTTTTTTTTACCCAAAACTATTAGTACGTCATTTGGGGAACAGAAGAAGTCCCATCTGCGGTTGCCTGATTGTGATTTCTCGACATCCCGCATGTTGTCTATTCAGAACCAGGCCAAAATTTGGGGTTTGACAACATTCGTTTTTGTCGGAACCAAATTTCTGCCATGGAAGTGAAGGGAGCTTCCATGACTTCAATCGCACTCATCTGAGACGTTGCGATCCCAACTTCCTTCAGAACACGATACGTTGCAACGAACGATTGACTCGAAACAGCGTCGACGTCTCGTCATGAACCAAAAAAAATCAGAAAGAAGCCAGCCGTGCCGTTGCTCTCCGTGTTTTGGCTGAAGACTCAATTTCTGCGGTTCAGAAGGAAAGAATCTATGAGATTGTTTTGTTCCAGAGCTGCCGTGTCTCAGTCTCAACTTTTTTTTTTGGTGGGGCAAACGGCGGGTTGGGATCTCTTGCTGCTGTTTTGCTCGCAGACGTCCCAATCTGTCAAATTTGTTCCCTCTTCCCGCAACAAATTGGTTTGGCCCAAGATTATTATTATTATTATTATTAGAAATGGCTGCTTTTTTTGATTAGCATGGCGCTTTCCAACATCGCACAATTTTCTCACAAGTGTGTACAGTCTGGCAAAAATGTCATTTTGGGGCGAAGCGCCGCATCACCAACAGTTGGACATGCAAACCTGAAAGTCTCGGGAAGAGTTTGCTCTTGATCTCGGGGCCTGGCTTGGAAGCAACAACCTGACAGTGTCTTCCAGTCCGGGCAGCCCATCCCTCCATTGTACCTCATTTGTATCCCCGCTCCCCTTTTGCAAGCCTGTCGGACCAGTTTGTGGTCTCCCCCCCCCGCCCCCTCAGCCGCCAGCAGGCGTGTCAGGAACCCTGGGGGCATTTGCCGACGCCACGGTGTTTAGTAAAGATGAGGCTCCTGCCAGGGAAATGTCCTATTTTGTATAAGCACACAACTGTCCTTTTATTTTGTACACCCTGTGCTCCAAATGTCCTTCGGCAAACTTCCCGAGCCGTTGCTCCCCTTTTACAACCGAATCTACGCGCCCCCCCCCCCCTTACTCCATTTGCACGTCCTTTTAAATGACAGCCAAACGAAAGACGGTACCCCAAATTTGGCCTTTCGTCCATTTTACGCGCAATTTGGGAGTCGTCATTTTCGGGGAATGTGGCTTTTTTTTTTTTTTTTTTTCCCTGACCAGATTTGCACCTGCAAAAATAACGGCACAAATAAGGTGCAACCCGAGGTCGGAAAGAAATCCGATGACAACTCACCACTGTCATCGTGCGAGAAATGAAATCCAGGATGTCCATAAAGTCTCTCTACCATTTCAAAAATGTATCAAAAATGCAATTGATTGGATATTTTATTCAGATTTGTTCTATTGTATTCAGCATTTATTAGTTTTTGTTTTTTTTATTTACCTCTTTTAATACATTTCTACGTGGGCGCTATTAGTTGCACGAAGCACATCAAGACGAAACTCGATTTTTTTTGCCATGTACATGCAGCCCCCAATGTGGTGGTGCACCATCGAGCAGAAATTGATGTCTCGTTGAAGAAAAATGGACCAATTATAAACAAACGGGGTCCCTGAAACACACAAATGCAGTGTGATTAAAAAAAACTTTAATAAACACCAAATACAATAAAACAAATCTGAATAAAATATCGAATCAATTGCATTTTTTATGAATTTTTGAAATGGTAAAGAGACTTTATGGACTCCCTCTACAAAGGGGCACTCTGGAATAGACACATCGTATTCACTCATAATCTGTCGTCGGCAATTTTCGCCCCAAAGTTTGTAGGGAGCCCAAAAAGCTTGACGCAATTCTTGCAAATTTTGTCCACTTCCACTCCAGAAAAAAAAATGTTTGAGTTTTTAAACCCTGGAGAACCCAAAGGGTCCAATTTGGCCTTTATCCTAAATTAGGATTAAGGCATTGAATATTTGAAAAAATTGTGGTGTTCAGTGAACATATAGCAGTCATTTCATGTATAATTCATCATTTTCCAAAGAAGAAAAGGGTTCTTGGGTTCTCCAGGGTTAAGCCCACCGAATATGACAACTTCAAATACTTTGGCGAATAACAGTCAAAGAGAGCGGGTGACTTTAATCATCAGCTTCTCCAAAAGGACCCGTTTTTGGTTCACGTCACATGGCAGCGTTCATTTTGGCCACGCCTGGTCCTTGAGTACCCGTCTCGTTTTGTCTCTCTCGACCAAGGAATCGGGAAGACCCCTGGACAACGCCAGCCCGTCCACCAACTCCTCCGAGGACGACTACCGCAACAAGCCCAACGAGAACTCGTACTGCTACCAGCTGCTGCAGGAGCTGGACAAGCAGCGCAAGAGCGGCATCCTGTGCGACGTCAACATCGTGGTGTCGGGCCAGGTGTTCCGAGCCCACAAGAACATCCTGGTGGCGGGCAGCCGCTACTTCAAGACCCTCTACTGCCTGACGCAGAGCGAGGCGCAGGACCGGGCCACCGTCACGCACCTGGACGTGGCCGCCGTGCAGGGTTTCTCGGTCATCCTGGACTTTCTCTACTCGGGCAACCTGCTGCTCACCAGCCAGAACGCCATCGAGGTCATGTCGGTGGCCAGCTACCTGCAGATGACCGAGGTGGTGCAGTCGTGCCGGGCTTTCATCAAGGACGCGCTCAACATCAGCATCAAGCAGGAGGCGCCCGACTCGGTGGTGGTGGACTACAACAAGCGGCAGACGGTGACCAAGGAAGGCCCGCGGGGCCACGCCGACCGCAAGCCCGGCAACTTCTGGGCCACCAGTATCCTCTCCAAGCTCTCCATCCAAGCGAGCGGCAACAGCCAAGGGAAGGAGTCGGCGGCAAAGGAGGACGGCGAGGAAGACGGCGGCGGCGGCGGCGGGAGGGTGAAGGAGGAGTCCAGCGACGTGGAGGTGACGCCGGTCGGGGCCGGTCCCCCCGGCGCTCCCCCGGGGAGCTGGAGCCACCACAACGACAACTCCTCCGACTCGGCCGACAACAACGAGGCCCGCTCGCAGGTTTTCGTCTGGAACGAGCCCGGCGCGGCGGCGGCCATCAAGCGCGAGGCGCCCGACGCCGCTGCCGGCAGCGGGCGGCGGAAAAAGCAGGCCGCCACGCGGAGGTTCGTCTACAACTTCCCGCCGGAGCCCGAGGAGGGCTTCGACGAGGGCATGTTCGTCCAGCCGTCCGCCTCCTACCCCCGGGAGGACTTCTCGGCGCTCTCGGAAAACGCCGGTAAGGCGCACATTGGCACTCTTAAAATGGCCGCCGTATTCGTTTCCTCACCACCTCCCTTTTAAATTCTTTTTTTTTTTTTTTTTTGCCGACGTGATGTTGTTAGCCGTCACAGCAGATCGTTTTCACCCTCGTTCCGAATATTTAGTTGACGACAAAGAAATGTAATCATGCTTGAGACACAAGTAGGCGCAAATGTGAATCGCAGCCGCGTTCCCCCAGTTTGGGAGAGCTAAACCGCCAAAGGCTGCACCAAAACTGTCTTCTCTTTTAAAACTTTGGAGATATCGCAAGCGCTTTTTGGTTGCAAAACCCCCCTATTTAAACAGAAACAAAAATCCCAAAAGTGAAGTCAAAAGAAACCCCAAATGAGCTCACCGTGACACCATAATTCACTTTCCGGTCCAGGTTTTGACAAGGCGTTACATTTTTGAAAATAGTTTGTCTGGATTTCCAAACGGGTCATCGGGAAGGTGAAAAGTCAAATTTATCGGTTGGGAAAAAAAGAAAAAAGCTTATTCAGGCGCACAATTTGAAATTTGCTGGCTGAGGAGGTGCGAATGGTCATAAATTAAGTCATCACTTCTCATGAGCGTGCTTGTAAATGTGCGTGTATGTTTGTGTGCATGTAAATGTTGCAAGTCTATGTACGTGTTGTTTTTGTGTGTCTGCGTACCTCAGGTTTGGCACGTGTGAACGTGTGTGTATATGTCAATGCAGCCTTGCGCCTGTTAAATGTACGTTTGCATTTGTAAGTGCGCCTTCATGTCAAGTCAGCTTTTATTGTCCAATATGCTCGATGTGCAACATACAGCACAGATGAAATTACTTTCCTCTCTCAACCGCAGCGCAAACATGTCGTGCATTGAACACACACACACAGCTAAAATTTACGTTCAAATTCCAGACGTTTTAAAGGCTGGCGTGTGGCCGTCGCACGCCCCCCCCATACCCGAGCTGGGCTGCGCGTGCGCGCTCATCAAGCAGGCTCAACCTGGCCCGCCGTTTCCTCCTGATGATCCCCCGCTAATCGCTCCCGAGCCGAGCGGGGGGAAGGGGGGGCGTTAACCCACGTTAACGGCTGCTTTGTGGGCGCTGACGCCACACAAGCCTTCGCCACACACTCTTGCCCTTCCTTCCACAATAAAAAAAAAAAACAAAAAAATAAATCGGCATGACTCCCATTTGAAAATCCTCTTTGTGTCCTTCCATACATGTTGATTTCATCCTGGAATAACCTTTTAATCTCCCCGTCGCCCTTTCTCGTACGGCCTAATCTCTCCTCCGGCCATTAAAGCGGCGCTCCTCCACCGTGACGGAAGCACGGGGCGTTTTTTTTTTTTTTTTCTTCAACATTTGCTTCCCTCCCTAATGCAGGATAATGAAGGACGCGTAGGGGGGGGGGACAAGGGAGGGGAGGGGGGGAATCCTCTCCCTCAGGCCTCCCCCATAAATGTGCTGCAATGCTCTTAGCGCCTGCAGCTCCTCTAATGCGCTCCACAAGTGATGCCTTGTGGGGAAGGGGGCGGGGGCGCACTAATGGCCTGCGCTCAAGGGTGCGCAGATACATGTTGGCCGCCATGCGGGAAGCAAATGTGCACGCTTTTGATGATCCTTATCAGCAAAACGGATCGTCTTCTCCTCGCCCGTCCAGCGGCCACGGCCAATTAAGGCGCAACACAGTGGGGCGTTTTGTTGCGCGCGTCACATGGCTTCCGCGCCGTCGCCGCAAAAGCAAAGAACAGGACGCAAATGATTTGGTGGGAATTCGACACTAATCAACCTCGCCTGCACTCTCGGAATCAAGTGCTCGAATCTAAGCCCATGAACTTTGAGCCCTGTTCAAATTCACTTTTCATGTGATTTTAAAAAAAAAGGAATAAAATGAAGCTATTTCTTTGAAGGAAAGCGAAGCTACTGAGATAACGCCATTGTAAAAGCGTGAGCTGCCCGATCAGCTGACCTTTGTTTGGGAATAACCAGAGTGGCTTCAAATGGCAACTCCCGTTGAGTGGGATTTGTTCCGAGTACACTTTAGTTTTGAGGGTGTGCACACTTATACAACCACTGTTGTTCAGTTCTTTGCCAAATCGAGGTTGGCAGATTTAAGGTCACGATGGTTGACAACGTTTCAAATGACGTAACTTGGCCTCGTGTTTTTTTTTTTTTGTTGTTTTTTTTAATCACAAAAAAAATAAAATAAAACTACCGTTGGTGGGCGTGGCCACCTGGCTAAACCATTGGCTCTTTTCCAAGTCTTGACCAAGGGAGCGTGGCAGCCATGTTCTCAGTGGGACAAAGGAACTCAACATGGAGGAACGCACACTTTCAGGTGTGCCCCAAGCCCTCCCCACTTCCCAGCCAACGCTACTTTACATATAATAGGGCCCCGCGCGCGCGTGCGTGCATTTTTATGTAAGCAAAGCCTGAATTGTTCCCTGTGTGTGTGGACTGGTTAGTTGTGTACACAAAAACGTGGCTCCCGCCTCCCCTCTGACAAACCTCTCACCTCCCCCTTCTTTTTTTTTTGGTCTTGTTTTTATGTCTCCCTCTCGCTTCTCTCCTCATATCCCCAAACCCCGCCCCCCTCTTTCCCAGAGCTGGCCAATCAGATCCAGTACAGCATCATCCAGCCAGGGGAGTCCTGGGAGAACGGTAAGCGGCAATGATGAGCACACGCCCTCGCATGCCATGCGCTTTTTTTTCGCACAGGTGGCCCCGAAATCCGGGCGCTCGACCATTTTAATGGAGGCCACCTCGCGGTCTGAAGCACAAATCAAAATATAAAATGCTTTCAAAATATTAACTTTATGCTCAGGACTGAGTTAAAATTCATCAACCAATACACCGACCCAAATTTTAGGGCGGTTTGGTGCAACAAAAAAACAAAAGCAATCGAGGGTTAAACAAGCCATACACGAAGTCTATTCGTCTATGGCGCGGCCATATCGGC